CCTTAATGATTTTGAGGATCTGGAAGAGTCCATGTAACTGGATGGATTTATTCGTTCTCTGGTTTTTTATTCCCTACAACTTCCCTGGGTTTTTAAAAAGGTATTTCAAATGTTTGGTTGTAGAGTCTTGGCATCTCCAGTGCTCCCATCTTTGTCTTGTGTGTGTTTTTCAAAATGTTGTCTGAGAAAGCATGTAGAATTCTCCTTCCGTTCTTCTAAAAGAAGTTGTAGGATTGGGCCGGCCCCGTGGCTCACTCGGGAGAGTGCGGCGCTGGGAGCGCAGCGGCGCTCCTGCCATGGGTTAAGATCCTATATAGGGATGGCCGGTGCGCTCACTGGCTGAGTGCGGTGTGGGCGACACCAAGCCAAGGGTTGCGATCCCCTTACAGGTCACAAAAAAAGGAAAAAAAAAAAAAAAAGAAGTTGTAGGATTTGTGACTACCCTTGTAAATAGCAAGGCTTCTGTAGATGCCTAGGAATTAAACACCATGGTTACTGGATGCTATTGATGAAGTACCAGTAAACTATGTCCCAGTCTACAGAAGCTACTCCAGGCGTTTGCATCTAGTTAATTTCCAAATTAACTAGATGTGAACTATCCAGAAGCTAGAGAAGGTGAATTCTTGTTTTCCAGTTCTGATTTCTTTAAACTTCATTCATTTGGTTGTTTTCTTTTATTCTTTAATTTATGCAAGTAGTATTTAGTTCTTACCATGTAATAAGGACTGCTAGAGACTGGAGTCACTGAGACATGTAAGACAGTCTGCCAGGAGCTTTGAATACAGGTGTTGGGAAAATGGAATAATTTAATCATGCCCCCTCACCTGCCCGTCCATTTGGGGGAGGTGCAGCACATTCTTTGTAAGCAAATTGTGTGTGTGCAGGTGGAGTTAGTGCACATGCATGGCACTGCGACCTAGCTGGCATTTACTGCCTCAAGTGTCTGCCTGCACGGCCATGCTCTTCAACCTACAGCTTCCAAGGACCTGTTTGCCAGTTACCTAGCTCATAGACCTCTGTGTGAGGGGTCTGGTGACCCAGCCTGGCATGTGAAGGGTTTGTGACCGAATCTGAACAACGGGCTTGAGGGGTCTGTGAGCTCCAGACCCAGCTCTAGCTCGACAATTGGCCCAGTCGGCAGGATTACGGGCAGGTAAAAGAGCCCGGCAGTTGGCGTAGTCTGTGACAGGATTCTGAGCAGGTAAAGGAGCCAAAAGCCCTTGGAAGAAGGAGGAAATGTGGCTATTTTGAGCATGTCGTGCCTTATGGCCACCTTCCTGTTGACCAGGATCTTGTTGCTGCACACTGTACTGCAAGGCAGCATAGACCAGGCACTACAACGCAAAACTCCTTAGGAGGGGGAGGAAATGTGGCTATCCTTGAGCATGTGGTGCCTGGTAGCCACTTTTCTGCTGACTGGAGCCTGGCTACTGCTCACTATGCTGCAAACTGATCGAGATTTGCAGCAGAAAGCAGAGTTGTTGGAAGCAAGGATGATTATCCTGGAGGATGACGTGCAGCGACTGGCCATGCCTGCCTCTTACACCAGGGAAGACGACCAACCCAGTAGTGAGTTGGGGGAGACAGTGCATCTCCAGGCACGACCTGTTGTGCACATGAGCAGCCTATGGGACCAGATGGACAACTGGTGGGCGGGCGATCCACAGGTGACCCAGTTTACCACCTATGTCCCGCATACCCAGGTTGAACTGGTTGAGTTGGGGAGACAGTTCAGGCAGAAACATGGGGAGACCTTGGCTGCTTGGCTGTTGTGGTTATGGGACCTAGGGATGGATAGTGTGATGTGCTCTGGTGAGGAGGTGGAGAAATTGGCCTCTATTACCATATACCTGTCCCTGAGGCAGTGGGTGCAGAATAGCCACAGATATGCACAAGGGCAAGGTAATCACTCCTTGATGGATTGGGTGAATGCAGCTGCCTGCACCGTGTGGGCAAATGCTGGAGAACTGCCCAAGATTGTTAGTAAATGGCAAACGTATGCTGAGCTGGTCTAAATCATTCGAGAGCTGGGGATGCGGCAGTTCATGTTTAATGTGAACACTCGTGACCCAGACTATGAAAATTTTACAGGCAGCATGAGAGACGTAGTGCTGTAAAATGCCCTGTTAATGTCCTTTGGGTCACTGATGGCCATACTGGCCCCATACCTTGGTCGTCCTATACATGGGGTAATGACCATGATAGCCAGCTTGGGTGAAGTAGAGGATAGCAGACAAGCAAAAGGGGTCTGAAATGTGGCTAAGACCAAACCCCCAAGAAATACTCGGGATTTTATCCCAAAGGGACCAAGCAAGACTAGCCATAAGCAAATGTGGTTTGACTTGCTTGCAGCAGGGGTTGATACCAAGAAAATTGACTGGCAGCCAAATGCAGTTCTGTTTGCCTTGTGCAGCAATTGCTCCCTGA